ACCTCTCTGCTCCAGGAGAATACCAGCTGATCCCAGTACTACCAGGACACACACTTCATAAATAAACATGTGTGAGGGCTCTCAGGGGAAGGCGAGATGGATATTTAAGTGTGCACAGATAACTGGGGAAATGGAAAGAAAACCGGCATTTCCTACATACGTAGAAATTTAGACAATACTTTCTGATGAAAAATTATACATCAAAAAGGTTTATTTTGGTCAAGTCTAAACATTTATATCATTTGATGTTGCAGTTTATGGAATGACAAGTCACACGCACCACAGCCAGCATGGTGGAGTTAGTGCCAGGGCACCCAAGTTCTCAGAGCTCAGGGCAGGGCAGCTCTTTGAGGAAGTCAGTACCCAGCTGGCAACCGAGACTGTCTCGACTTGGAGAGAGAGAGAGCTTTGTTAGCTTGTTCCCAGCAGATCTCTGAGGCCAGGAAAGGAAGGTGACCATCCTGTGGCTCTGACTTGAAAGCATGACTTCGTCACAAAGAGACGAACAACACATAAAGAGCTCTTCCCAGCCAAAGCCACGGCTGAGAAATCCATCACTGGCGGAGGAAGCTCCACTACGATTCTAGGTCTGGAACGGTTGTGACTTGAAATCTCAAGCCTGTCGCCTGGGACCCCATCTAATGTCAAAAGACAAGCCATGACTTGCTCCTGACTGTGGTGCTCTGGGTCTGTGTTTATACACCTCATGATGCAATTGCAATTACCTTAAAACAGAGAAGGCAAATGGTGGGGCACTGCTGAGAACATACTGGGGAGATGCAGTTGTCTTGGTGCCAGGGAGACAGGGGCCCCCAAGTTTGCAGTTACATTTTTGATGTTGTCACTCTCAATCTATTGACTGGCTGCCAGACAATCAAGCCCGGCTGTCTGGCTGGCAGCTCATTTTGCTGGCAGGTGGCAAACAATTAGACACACCAATTTGTGCCTCCTGATGACATTAAAGCATGAAACTAAGTTGTATGCAGTGCCTGGCGATTTGTGTGAAAGCATTTCAAAAATAATACTCTTTGCCGTGGCAACTCATTTCAGACTGCCATCTCCCATTACGGCTGTGAGCAGTGAAGGGGCCAGGCTTGACTTGTGTGCTGTGCGAGGCCGCTTCTGCTCAATCCGTCATCCGCGCCCTTGGGACCCCAATCCCCTCGTTCATCAATATCACCTCATCATTTACATCTGATAGTACTTGAGCGACTGCATATATTACCGCACGGATCCTCTCTTCCTAAAAAGGACCGCACGATGCCTTGTGCTCCGCGTTCCGTTTCCACTAACACAACCTAGAAACATGATCCTTGCCCCCATGCATTTTGCTACCAGGACTTTGCAGAAGTTTCAGTTCTTATTCTTTAAAAAGCTATATTCATCAAAATATAGTAAAGTTTGAGTATCTAGGAACAGTAGTACTCAGGTGAGTATTTTCTTAAGTTTTCATGAAATAAACAAAACCCCCACATTTTCTAAAGGTAATCAAACCAAAACATTTATCTTAATCTTTATTTCATTTGAATGCTTTAAAAGCTAATCACTCATTCTCAGTGTTTATAATTTTGCATTTTAGGAAAACTGAAATTTGTAATTTAAAACCGTAAAGCCTGTAATTCCGTTCCTGTGACAGTTACTTCGTGGTAATGTGGAGACAGAAAGGCCTGGGCTTGCCCGCACACATGTACACCTGTGGGCAAACACTGAGCTGGAGTCACCAGACAACGCGGGAGAACCTTCCCAGGATGGGGTAAGTAAACACTTAATAGACCAGAAGACTTTTTCAAAAATCTGCATACAGTCTCCCTTTCTTTTTACAATTCTCTGCAAACCTCTTTATCCCTCTGCTTCTCCATCAAATGTGGGTTCACAAGGAGAAAGTGAGTATCTTTACATGCCATCTAGCAGCTAATACCACTCGACTTCACAACGGATTTTTACAAAACAGCTGCTGGACACTGGCTAATGGTAATGGGACAATTTCTAATTACATCTGAGAAAGCAAAAGATCACAAGGCCTCTCTGAAAAGGTGTGGCTGTGCCCATCAATCAACAAATGAATGGATAGAGAAGCTGTGGTATATTCAATCAATGGAATACTACACTGCTCTGAAAAACAAGGAACTCATGAAATGTTATTCAAAATGGGTGACCCTGGAGCACATTATGCTGAGTGAAGTATCTCAGTCACAAAAGGACAAATACTACATGGTGCCAGTGTTATAAAACAGGACTGACCTTGGGGTTGAGAGGAGACTGAGAAAGATGGGTTCAATAATGTATACTGCATTGAAACAGATGAGGGAGAAAACTGTTTAAAAGGGATGTTATTATATATTTTTTGTCATGACAGGAGTCCAAGAGCGAAGGCTGCATAGTGGAGTGGACCTGGGGGAGGGTTTGTAAAACAATGAAAGAATTTTTCTTTTACTTTTCCAAGAGGGTAGTGTACTAGGGGGGAGGGCTGGTAGGGGAGAAAAGTACAACAATGAATGAATGGAAATCCAAAGTTTCTGTAAATTTCCATTGAAATGGATAATAATTTTATTGTTTGTTTTATTTTTTAAAAAAGCACACACACACAAAAAGATGTGCTGCACTGGGAAAATCTGTCAAGGCCTCTCTAAAAGTGATCAAGAGCAACAATGTCAGCTTAAAGACTAAGGTGCACTTGATCCAAGCCATGGCCTTTTCAACGACTTGATATGCATTTGAAAGTTGGACTGTGAATAAGGATGACAGAAGAATCAATGCCTCTGACTGGAAAAGAATATGGACTATCTCATGGACTTCCGAGAGAACAAACAGGTCTGTCCTACAGAAAGTGAAAACAGGTTCCTCCTTGACGACAAGGATGGTGAAACTCCATCTCACATACTTTGGGTATATTGTTGGGGCAGGCGGCAGTCTTTGGACAAAGACATCATGCTTGGAAAGGTCAGTAAAACAGAGAAAGGCCCTCTCTAAAAAGATACAACGACACAATGACACAATGACTGTCAACAGGTTCAAGTAGATCAGAGCTGATGAGAATGGCACGGTACAGAACAAGATTCAGACCCACTGTTCATAGGGTCACAGTGAGTCACAGCTGACCTGACGGCATCTAACACCAAGTAAAATAAGATTGTATTTTACATAAAACCAGAGACTACCTCTGTTTTTTTGCTTTTTCTTTTTCTGCTAATATAGCAACCAAAATACTAACTCACATAATTAGAGGCCACAGACAGACTAGAAAATGACAATACACAATATTTATTGCTTTAAGAATACCTATGATTGACACTCATTTCATAAACAGGATTATCTAGTATCTAGTTGACAACTTTCCAGATTGCCAAGTAGGATACAAGTAGAAATTAAATGTTAAACAGGCAGTGGTATTCACTTCTTGTACATTCCCATATATCTCTTGTACAGTTACTTAGTATCTGTGTATATTTAGCTCTGTGTACTAAGAAGAATAAAATAGACAGAAATCTAAAAAAAAAAAAGAAGAAGAAAAGGTGTGGCTGGCACATATCCACTCCGGGACGCTGGGATCGTCCCATCTCTGCTTTGTACACAATAGTCTGGCTAATTTTGGGAAAGCAATATGCAATACACACTTTGTATGTATTGCATATTATTTAAAATTTTTAAAGATGATTTTTCAACTTAAACTTCTCTCTAAAACAGAAAGCACTTGCTTGTCAATCACTTCAACTTATTTACAACATCCACACACACATACACACAGAGGAAAGGGCAGTTTAACATGTTTTAATTCTAAAATATATCGCTTTATTCTGTTTTTGTGAACTACCATTTTCACTGACTGGACTTTGGAAAAGATAAAGAATGCAGATGCATGATGTAAAATGTTCTGTACAACAAGTGAATGCAGAGAAGTGAAAGCATATTCTGAGTGCAGGTGTGTGGTATGCTGTGTCAAACAGGGCGTTCCATGGTGTGGACATCACGTGGACGCCACAGCGAGACCATGGGGTCCTCATCTGCTGCTGCTGCCTGAGGAGTGTCTGGACAGGGCCCGCCCCCTGAGCAGCAGGCACAGCATGGACCCCACAGGCACACCATCACCACCTGCTCCATGGCCACGGTCATGCCCTCTGCCTCGCCTGCTTGTATGGCACCCAAGACCCAGTGCTCCTGGGTCTTTGAAACCAGTAGGGAGAAAGGCAAAAAGAGGCAGCTGCTTCCCTCTAAGTTAAAAGAAAAAAAGTAAACCAAAGCAACCCATAGAGGCCCATGGGAAAATCTAGTCACATCCTGCCTGAAGGGACTTACACAGTACACATCTATATATGGAAGGCTAAGACACCTTCCAGCAATGTTGACTGCCTAATATATGTCAAAATATGGCTTTCGTGCTGGTGCCAAGAAAGCTCACAAGGAGAGGGGCACAGAGAATTTTCTACCCTTTCCATATACTTGCACTAAAATCTTAAATTTTGATCCTACTACTTAAAGTAAGGGACTTAGGCTCCAATAAATAGTAAAAATTTTTCTAGTAACACAAGGTATTTTCAGTGCCAGAAGAGCTTGAGAGATGCAATCTATTTTCTCCATGAAACAAGTAAACTGACTTCTAAAATAGACTGGAATCCCCTGAGGATGATTACAACAGCCCAATTTCTCTACTCTCAATATTCCGTGCTCCCTCCCATAATATGACTATGGGTGTGCCTCACAACGTGACCATCTGGCTGGGCAGGGGTGTGGATGGTGTTCACAAAGCCAGAACTGTCTAGAAGGCCCCTGACAAAATAGGACACTTCCAGATCTCTTGAAAAGCTTTGTATCACTGTTATCAGGTGCCATTAACTCAACGCTGACTCAGAGGGAGCCCATATACAATAGGGTAAAACCTTGACCAATCATGGGCCAGCCTCAACCCCCACTGCTCATGCCACTGCTGGAAGCAGCGTCAATGCTGGCACTGCGGGGCTTTCCTTCGGAGTCTCCCACCTGGTGAACAGGAACGCAGTACCCACCTGTCAAAGGAATGGAACTGCATAGGAAGAATGGCTTGCGCTTCCCTCTTGAGCGATGGGTCTGGGTATGGGATGGGCTCAGGACCACAATCTGTTGCGTCCACTGGGGCAGCGACGAGACTCTTGAGGATCTCCTTGACATTAATGCCTTTGGTCTGGCTGATGCTGGAGATGGATGGGGCGGGCTTCAAACTCTCGCTGTGATGCTCAGCTAAGCTCTCCTGTGACTGCTTCACTTCAGAAGACAATGTGGACAAGAGCCCACCCATGGCATCAGGACCAGTGCTGGGCCCCAGGTCTGCACCATTCAGGAGGCTGGCCACTTGCTCCTCTCCGATGCCCGGATCTGTGTGAGGGATTGAACTTTCCAGCTGAATGTCTTCACCAGTGGTCGGGGGCTCTTTCTCCTTTATTGTCTCAGGAAATGAAGCAGGTGTTTCTGTAATGTGAAAGAAGCATGGCTGAAAAAGCTTCAGAAGTGGGCACTCTCTGCTCTTACCCACTAGACTCACATCACAGAACACAGAAAACACAGGGCGAGACACAGACCCTGCCCGTGCACACCACAGACCACTTAGCACGTGGCAGCTGTCTACACTGCCAGGAAAGCAGCTTCTTTGCAGATCACCTACCCTATCAGATGATGCATTGAAAAGCACCAGAGTACAGTTTTCATAAGAACGCTTTACAGCCACTCACAAATCATCCCCTGGATGAACCCTCCTCTACGCCTGCTGTTAGCTCCCAGACAAGCATGCAGGGGGAATTCGGGAGTTCTCGAATAGTTGTTTCCTTAAAACTATAAAGCCAAATTTGTGACTTTTGTACTTCAGTAAGCAATAATAAACTAGATGGTTCTTAATAGAAAATATTTCCATATACCACTTGAAATTCCATACATAGAAAACAATCCCAAAGACGGCGTTAAGATGGCGAGCAGGCCAAATAATGGGACATAAGTCAAAGGAATCAGGGTTGTAATAAGAAAACAATGCTGCTCAAGAATGTGAAAGGCCTGGATGTGTCACTTAAGAGCAATGATTTTGGGATAATAATGTTCTTCCTTTGTGAATAAATATTATTTATTGTCTGAAAACACAAATCAAGCATATTTATATATTCATACACATATTCTATGCATGCCATTTCAAATGATATATTAAAATACCTACATATTTTCAAGAAATTCTATCAATAGTTAAAATATTAAATTAATATAAAATCCAATTATTCAAAGTCAAAGTAATGAAATTTGACATATAATAAATTGTTATCTAACACTAAGTGGTAACATTAAAAAGTTTATTTAAATTAAGTTGAAATTTCCTCAGTAGTTATATGACAATAAGCAGAACTCTTAACAGAGTCAAGTCAAAGAAAAGAAGGAAATACTAAAATAATATCCATAAAGTTTCAGCAGTAACTGCCTGATGTAGATACTCAATGTGGATTATTTGTACTGTTTTATCTTCTATTGCCCTTTGTAAAATAAAGTAAGACTAAATTACTTGTAGATGTATTCCAAACTTTAAGATGTGTAAACTCTACAAGCCATTCTTACATTTCTTGCTTGTTTAGAAAATTTCTTTTGACAAGAAATCAGGAGAGTACCAAGCAGAGCAATGGACTCTCCACATTTTAGCAAAGCCCTCAAACACAGTTCCTGTGAACTCTCCATGGAAACAATGCCAGACACTGTTTAGATGATACTATTATTGGTGGAGGGTTGCTGCCAAGCCCAGCACAACTCAGAGCAGCCCCAGGAACAGCAGATCTGAACCCTGTCCCACGCTCGCTGTCTCAGGCACACTCAAGCCACTGCTGCCGCCACCGTGTCAAGCCATCTGGTTGAGATTTCTTCTCCGTCACTGTCCCTCCACGTTTCTAAGCATGATGTTTCTCTCCAAGGAACAGCCTCTCCCAGAAATATGCTCATAATAAATACGGGAGACAAAGCTTTGCCATTCTCCTCTCCAAGGAGTATTCGAGATGGCCTTTCTCCTGTTGGTTCTTTTGGCAGTCCATGGGGTGTTCAGTACTCTTTACCAACACCACAGCTTAAACACATCAATGATTCTCTGTCATCTGGACTCATTATTCAGATATCAGATGCACAGCAAGTGACTGAAAACCCCATGTCCTGAATCAGATGCATCTTATTGTAGGTCTACTAGTGGAGGGAAGATCAGAACAGGTTTGCAATCTGTACACACATACTAAACTATTGGCCATGGGGTGAAGACTCCTGTAGTAACAGAGGTGTCGACATCTCTGAGCACCGTCCACCACAATGTTCTACTCATTTCCAGAAGACAGATTAACGTCATCACATTCAAACTTGATGGGGATATACATCTATCATCTTTTTCATATCATTCCCAGAATAAGTTTGTCAAGTTTTCAAAAGAAATAAACCACCTTCATTTCTTTTTCTATGTCCTTTCTTTAGGTGTAAATTAAATTCACATGTTAATTTTGGAATAAATAACTTGAAGATATTGAATCTTCCCAATATTCCACATTCACCTACATTAACTAATATTAGAACTATTTCACAAGTCAATGTCAGACTGTAGTCTTCCTCCTCCAGGTCAAGTTTTCATTGTTCTGTAGCAGTGACAGGGAACTGACTCAGCTGGCCTTACGGTGGGCTTTCAGAGGCAGAAAACGGCTCAGGAAGAGACTGCCCATGCTTCTCCTGCAGGGCAGTTGGTGGACCCGAACCATGTGCCTTTCACTGTCTTTAAAATCCTGCTGGAGGGTCAGCTCTGCGTCAGCTTCCTTTTGACAGCACGTAACATTGTTATCAAGGTTCAGCTCTCTGTTCGGTCTCAGACATTAGAGTTGACAGATGAGAATATTGATGTAGTGATAATATTCACACACTGCATGAGCAATCATGAAAAACAGAAGAGATTTATTCTGTATTAGCCCCACAATTTAAAAGTATAATAAATGCCCAATTAGGTTCAGAAGGGAGACAGTCTTAACAGTGACAAAGAACTGAAACTCCAAAACCACAGCAGCGATACTGTACTGGCTTGACTTGTGGAGACCCTCAGGGACAGTGCAGACCCCCTGACTGGCTCCCCAGCTGCAGCTCTGGACGAAAGCACACTGCGGCATCTTCCTCCGACACACTGGCTGGGTGATTTCAACTGGTGACCTTTTGGTTAACACTATTTAAGAACCACCTTGAAAGTGACTTCTTGTTGTTATGTGCCATCGAGTCACTTGCAACTCATAGCGACCCTATGTACAAGAGCCCTAAACGCTGTTCTATCCTGTGCCAACCTCACCGTCTCAAACACATTCATTCCCACCACTCCACCACAGAATTGATCCATCTCATCAAGGGTCTTCCTCTCCTGCGCCGTCCCTCCACTCTCCCAAACATGATGGCCCTCTCCAAGGACCAGAGAAGGAAAAACATAAGAGGTGAGGATTCTAGTTAGGAGATTTTTATTTTAAGAAAGTCATGTGACAAAGATTAAGACTTAAGTGAAAACAGTAATGTGAATGAGAGATAGTAAAACTAAGATGCCCTGGAAATTCCAAAGTCCAGATGACTAAGAGAGAGAAGAGACTGGCAAACTAAGCAAAGAAAAGAGAGAAGTCAAAGATCCTGCCCTGCCATCACTAACTGCTGAGATGTGGTGACTTTCCACAGGACTTCATCAGACAGACCGCATACAAATCAGACTGACTGCATTTGTGCAAGAAATCACTGGAGAATCTCAACATCAGCAGTCAAAACCAAGCCAGGTGCTGACTATGCAAAAGATCACTCATTACTCACATGTCTTCGCAATTACTTGCCATACATCAGAGAGCTGGACAATGAATAGGGATGGCAAAGAGCTGACGCCTTTGAGTTATGGTGCTGGAGAAAAATACTGAACATACTACGGACTGTCAAGAGAACAAACAGGTCTGTCCTACAGAGGGTGAAACCAAGTTGGTCTCTGAAGGCAAGGATTTTAAAGCTTTGTCTCACATACTTTGGGCATATTACCAGGAAGGACTAGTCCTTGAAGAAGGGCATCATGCTTGGAAGAGTGGAGAAACAACATAGGAGAGGAAGACTATGGACAAGATGGATTGGTACTGACACTGACACAGTGACTGGGGTAACAGGGACAGGTGTGTCAGAGACTGTGTGACTGGCTCAAGCTAGGACAGGTCACAGGTGACTTGATGGCACTCATGTAACAAGTGAGTGCTAAAACTAAGACTGAAGAAAATTAAAACAAGTCCACAAGAATAAAAAGACCTTGAGTCTACCCCATCTGAATTGAAAAGTCATCTTAAGAATGGCGAGCTGAATTGTGGGATGACATTAAGAGAACAAAAGGTCATTCCAAAGACAGAAAGAAAATGAACCTAAATGGATGTCAAAAGAGACACTGAAAATTGCTTTAGAACATCAAAAAGTGAAAACAAACGGAAGAAATGCTGAAATAAAAGAGATGAACAGAACATTTCAGAAAGCAGCTCAGGAAGACAAGTGAACTAACAGAATGCGCAGAGACCTAGAAATAACAGACCAAAAACTCACTCAGCATTTCCTAAGCTGAAAGAACTGAAAAACAAATTCAAACTTTCAGTTGCAATTCTTAGGGATGCTATAGGTAAAAGCTTGACTGATCCAGAAAACATCAAAAGAAGACAGAGGATACACACTTTACCAAAAAGAATTGGCCGACACTGAAATATTTCAGGAAGTATCACAAAATCAAGAGCTAATAATAATGAAGGAAGAAATTCAAGCGGCACTAAAAGTATAGATAAAAAATAAGGCCCCAGGAACTGATGGGATACCAATTGACAATTTGCAAATGACAGATGTAACTCTGGACGTGTTCACAGAATACTCCAGGAAATTCAGAAGACAGTGTGTAGCTGATGGACGAAAAGAGATCCACATTTGTTTCCAACTGTAAGAAGGATGATCATTTTCATGATCTCTGGGATGTTTTTATAGGTCAAGAGAAGTCTAATCATGTTTTAAGGATACCTGACACTGAGGTACTAGCTGGAGATTTGAAAGCTACTGAAAAACTGTCTATTTATAGATGAGAAGACGGATGGCTGAGGCGGTTTCCCTGCTCTTAAGAGACAGATGAGATTACTGTCACACATTGTGGCAGAAAGACCAAGAGGAAATAAAACAGCAGTGTGACAACTCTATGACAAACAGGAGAGAGGACACAGAGCAGGGACAAAACATCAAGTGCAACAACAAAGGATTCCATTGTCATGGTTACCAGCATGGTAAATGACTTCTCCAGTGCTTCATTACCCCAGAGAATCTGATCAAGTCCAGCATTCAGTGTGAATGTGGCTGACTCAGAAATATGGACCAGAGTCTCAGCTTTGACTTATTCTTAAAGGATTAATAAAGAAGAACATGTACTTTTACTTATGGTGTGTCTCACA